GTTAATTTTTTGTGACACGTGTTAACACCATATGAGTGACGTCTAACTTAGGCGTGACTGCCTCGTGAGTGACGCCTAACTTAAGCGTGACTGATGACGCCCAATCCGGAGGTAACACACTGCAATACATGCATAAAGAGTTTTAAAACAGCAATAAATTTGTAATTTTTTTTATTTAAAAAGCAATTAATTAATTTTTTTTCCCATAACTATTATGTAGATATCAAAGAAAACAGGATCGTAGGGTTTGGAACAATGTATAAGCTGCTGTGGTACGAACGTAATTAGTGACCGAGAAGATTAGCATATTAATATATTACGAAGAAATAACCTTCTAAATCTTTTTGTTTATTGTTTTGCACGACAATGTCACACGTGAGTAGAGCTCGCAAAATGGGTTCGGGCGGGCCAACCCATCTAACCTGTCAAACGGAGCAGGGCAGGCTGAATTTTTCAACACATTTCAAAAGCGGGGCGGGGCGGGCTCATTGTTTGACGGGTTGACGGCGGGCATTGACGAGCCAAGGCAGGTCAGTGTGAAATAGGTTCGGGTTGACGGGCCAATCCGCCCAACCCGCCAAACGGGGTGGGACAGACTGAGTTTTTCAGCCCACTTTCAAAAGCGGAATGAGGCAGACTGACTCATTTTTTGGCAGGTTGATAGCGGAGTGGAGCGGAGTAAGGCGGGCCGCCCACTTTGCCACCTCTACACGTGAGGGTATTACCAAGCGTCAAAGAAATTATTAACATCTAGTTATTCTTAGGTGCAACTTTTTGAAGAAAAAAAAGAAAAAGAAAAATAGATAGCTATAAGACGTGACATTGGACAAGCATGTGTGTATTTTATACTAACTCTACTATTAATTTGTACACAATTCCACAAAGGCACTATAAAAGCACTCTCCTAACAAAGCCTTACGGTAGGGTAAAAAAATATTGGATTACACATATATATCCTGCAAAAGAACAAATGTTCCATTTACGTGGGGGGAAGCTTTGCATCAGAGCGCAATATCCATAAAAAGCAGAAGCTGTGTGGGAATAAGTAGCTACATGGTTCAGCTTAAAGAAGGAATAACTTTGACTGCAAAAGAACAGATATATTGGAGTCCCAAAATAAATTCACTGGGGCGTATGATATCGTTCCAAAAAAGTAAAAAAAAAAAAAAAAAAAAAAAAAAAAAAAAAAAATTGTATATAGTAATACAAAGTGGAAGGAAGCAGGCCTAGAGAAGGCTGACCACAGACCCCACCAAGAGAGAGAAGAAAAAAAGAGAGAGTATAAAAAGAGCTTTATGGGGAATAAGGATGAGGTTACATGATTGAACTGAAGTAAAGACTACTCTCGCTTGCTCCATTTTAAATTTACATAATCTTTTGGCACCACAGATTTCTTTTTGGTAATTAAGATGGAATTATTTTTCTTTTACGAGAGAGGTAATATGAAGAAAAGACGAGGAAAGAGAGAGCAGAATGAAAGGGGGGAAAGCTGGTATGATTAGTTTAGTGGTTAGGGATTTAGATAGTTTGTATTAGGTTATGTGTTTAATTATTTTTATTATTGTATAAAAAAAATAATAAAAGGAGAAAAAAAAAGGCAATGTGGCATGAGTATGACAGGTCGAATAAGATCGGCTAGAGTTTGCGGTGGAAGGTGGTGGAAGTGGAGAAGGTGGTGGAAATAATTATAACTACAATAATAGATTGCAAGATATGTAGTTATAATCATGGGCGAAGCATATCACTTTCTCTTTGTCATCACTTTCTAAGGCATGATTAGAAAAAAGTTGATCAATCTTCTCCTTCAAAGAAAAGCGTTCCCTTCCCTAGTCCTTTCTATCTAATTTTTTTTTTTTTCTCCTCTCTCATGTTGCAAAACACTCTTATTGGACCAAAGTAAAATAGGGGGAAAAGCTTCCCAAGTATATGTAGCCTCAAAGGAAAATAAGAATCCTGCTTTTTCAAGTATAGACTCGTAGATATTTTAAGTATTAGACTAATATATTACAGAGAAAAGTTTGAGATAATCGTTACCATTAACACCATTAATATATTGAACAATTTTTTGTCTCCTCTTGTTCGAAGGAATCAAATTTTCTGTCCCGTTTCCGGCTCTGCTGACAGTTCAGTAATATTTTTTTTTCCTACTTTATATGCTTCTTCTTTTTTTACTTATTAACTTCTTCTTTTTTGAGTTATTGATATTTAATTAAAAGAGATACGAAACAAGGATAGAAAAATGCATTCCTGTTAGAAATATGTAGATTACACGATATACATTGACCAATGAGTGGTTGAAATTTGGTTGCAGTGTCATCCATTAGTTGTGATTATGGCTTCAAGAAAAGTTGGTATGTTTGATTATGTTCTATTTTTTTTTTTAAATAATTTTGTAGAATAATTAATGAAATAGGTGTTTTTTGTTTTGAAAGTTAAAAGTTAAAACACTAAATAAAAATAACTTATATATGTCCTCTAAATTTGATTATAAAAACTAAAAAATAATTATAATTTTTAGAACAATTTTTACAAAATAGGTTTTTATCAAACATGTTTTTTTTTTTTTGTTCTGAAAATCAAAAATCTAATTTTAAAAACAGAATTCATAAAGCCCCATTATTTTTGGTGGAAAACTCAAATGCGAGGTGAAATATAGGATAAAGTAATATTAAGAATTAGAAAAAAGTATTTATTATTTTAAATGATATGACTTTTTGTCATTTTTAATGAAATTATGTCGTTTTGATATGTTTTTACATTCTCTCTCTTTTACTTTCTTTTTCTTCCTAATTTTATAAAAAAGAGAAAACTAAAAAAAAAAACAAAAATATCAAAACGATGTAGTTTCATTAAAAATGACACAAAGTTGTGTCATTTAAAATGACAAACACTACCAAATGGTGGTAGTTCAATTGACACATGGGACTTGAGGAGGTGAGGTGAGAGCATGTGTTCGATCATTCTCAGTATCATTTTTGGGAGGGATTTAAAGCCTTAATTATGTACCAACCCCGAATTGAACTAGTTGCGAAACAATGAACCGATTATAATATTTCAAAAAGAAAAAAAATGATAAACACTTATCCCAAATAATTATATAAATAAAAAGACTCATTAACCTAATTAATACTTTAATGTATTGAATTAAGGTGGCTTATTTGAACTATATCCCTTTAGCGTTTTGAACTGTCCTTAACCCCTGATAAATGTTATCAAAGTTGTTGATTTGATTCGCATGGGCATTGAAAAACAGAAATTATATATTGAATAGATCAATCGGATGGCTGAATTTAACCTGGCAGCGCATCTGTGGGATATTTCTGCAAAGCATATTCGCGTTTTTCATCAGCCTCTTTTTTGGTAAAATATAAGTTTGGGAGGATCAAAGCAAGTTATAAAATATAAATCAAATATCATCTACTAAATTCAAAACTTTTTTGCCGATGTTATTCAGTTATACCAGTTGAGTCTTCCTTCATTTACATGTTTAGATTTAGACCAACTAGAACTCTCTACAAATCCTCAGTTGCATGTCGTTTAATCTATTTTGAATGTTGATAATGATGGTAAATTGGTAATATGAAAGGAATGTTACATATTTTATTATCGAATTATCTTTTAGTCTTTTTGTACATTATGAGTCATGTACTAGTAATGGGTTAAAAATGCGTTCTTCTCGATGTTTAGTTTAAGGGGAAAATATTTATTATTTTAAAAGATAATTATTTTAGTTAAAATTAGTATTTTTTATTTAATATTTAAATTTAAAAAAAAAATCTCACACATTCTCCCATCATGTTTTTTGTTCCTCTAATCATAAAACATAGTAATTTTAACTAAAATAAAATAATTATATGTCTTTTAAAAGGATAAACATTAATTACTTAGTTAAATTGATAAATTTGATTAAGGAAATAAATCGGTAACCTCTTGATACTATTTCAAAAGGAAATATTATAAAAGTTGATAATCATAAAAGTATATCTCCCATAAATCTTATGGTCTTAAGAAATATGGCTAGAATAATTCAATTATAGGTGTTGCTTATAGGGTCTTTAGTATTTTAGGCTAGAATAGAATCGATTCAATGTATCACTAGGCTAAAGTGGACTTCCAAGAGTAGCACAATTGGGTTATGTGCCTAGGGCTGAGGGTATGGACCACCATCAGGCACTAAACCAGACCTCAATGACACGATATAAAGCAATAGCCATCTCAGTGAATGGGCTTCATACCCGTGACGATAGCGTTTCATATTGTCTATCGTTCGAAATCGAACTGAGAATGAATCCAAACAAGATTAAAAAAAATTATATATATTTTTTGAATTGGCTCAATAATCGTTTTTTTTTTTTTATTAAGGGTGGAGTGTTTGTCTTTTTAAATAACATAACTTGTATCATTTTACTCTCATAAAGAAATGTGATCCACACTTTTTATTTTGTCCATTTTCTATCCCCAAGAATCGTTTTCTTTTTTTATTAAAGGAAAATTATTTGTCTTTTTAAATAATATAATTTGTGTCATTTTATTCTCACAAAAGAGGTGACTCACACTTTTATTTTTTTTTGTCCATTTTCTCTCTCATATGATTTATCTCTTTCTCTTACTTTACATCCTTTACACTGATACACTCTTTCCTTTTATTAAATTGGCTCAAGAATCAAACTACTTTTTTTCTGAATCGGTTCAAGAAGCAAATTGTTTTTAAAACTATTTTCATTCAAGAATCAAACCACTTTACTCATTTGATTGAGTTTGAAATAAAAAATAAACTAAATTATAAATCAAACCCATCCACATTATACTAAACCAATTTAAGAACCGAACTAAACGGAATTTAAAGAGATTTTAAAATATTATAGAGAATAAACAACTCTGAAATTTAATGACGTATATGATTATACTATTCAAATGTCTATTTTTAATAAACTGAAGTATCGCTCTTAAAATATGTAAAAATTTCTTCTTGAACTCAAATCGCACATAACTCTTCTCAATGAGAGTTATTCATTATGACAAGAAGCATCTTAATAACTTGTATTGTCATAGTCCTTGGAGATACAAGCTAATACTCGTCACTAAATTCAATCTAAAATTACAGATTTCACATGTTGAAGTAAAATATCCAGTTACATGTAGACCTCCATGCCGATAAATTTAGAGGATTGACATAGAGGACAAAAGCTAAGCTTACTTTCACAATCTTTACAGAGGCAAAGATGCTTACAAGGCAATAAAACCATGGTGACTTCATTGACTCTGCAAGCCTTACATGTCATCATCTCTTTCGTATCGCTATTCTCCTTGGAAAGCAGATGAAAATCAATGGCACGGCCATTGCAGCAAGAAGCTGTATCATCTACCTCACTGTCACCACATCCTTCTTTACTATCTCTGCTTTGGACATATGCTTGCTGAAGGTTAAACTTGAGAGCAGCAATCATATTTTCATTGTATCTGGCTCGCTGCTGCCACGCACCTGCTTCCACAGTCAACTGTTCCATTCGATCTTCAAGTTCCGTGTTCCTCTTATTGATGCTTTCTACCTCAGCTTCTTTCTCGCGAAGTTTCTGAAGGACTCTGTCTTCAATGAGTGAAACACTCTCGAGCTGTGTTGCCTGAACCTTCTCTAAAATTGTTTGCCGCAATCGTTCACCCTATTAGAATGGAGAAGAATAATTAGCGTTGCATCTTCAAATTACAGAATATTTTTTTTATATTTTTTTCATTTTATATGTCAATGCAGGCTGGCTATAATGTATACAACATACAAGTTTCAATGCAGCACACTTAATAACCCGCTACTGTAGCGGAATAGCACGCAATTGCACTGCATTAAAATCCTTTGCAAGGGATAGTTACACTATTAGGCCAAATGACAAACTACGGTAAGTGGGTTGACACCAATCTCAACCAAAAATCTTAAAACTATAGGTCTATGGGTCTTTTGCACCGTCATTTGGTTCACTTCTAACCAGTATGGGACTTCATCACTACTCATACTTGAATATTTCTAACAATAACCCTGCATACCACACCTTTTTTTTATAGCATGAATGAACCTCACTAATCGTAAAACATTTTTATAACATGTCATCAGAGGATTTAGAGCACTCACTATCCTTTCAACCAAAAAGACAACACCAAGTATTGGGAATGGGATGAACAAAAAGATTTTGGAAGTTATTTGAGAGTGAGGCGGGGGGGTTCCTTCATGTCGTGACCAAACAAGTTATTTGAAAGAGCAAATATGCAAAGTTGGACAATCAGTCAGTAATATAACAGAAAAGTACTCTATTTTAGAAGGAAACTTGGATAACAAACCATTCACCTATGATCCTTACTAACATTGCTTTAGGTGCATTTGGAAAAAAGTTGAAAGTGAAATAGAAAACAATCAGAACAGATCTTACTTAAGGTGTATAATTGCATACTCGTTTGGTGATGGTAGTTCAGCGCTATGTAATGAGAATTAATATAGAGAATTATGCAGAAAACTGAAAGTCATACTTACATACAATTATCCGTAAGTGGGAAAAAAAAAACTTACAAAAACCTAGTGCACCAAAGTCGGTGCACTAGACCAATCATATTATTAATTATTCATCAATTATGATAATTATCTATTAATTAATGATACGATTGGCCTAATGTGCCCAACTTAAGTCAAGCAACTTTACGTGCATATTTCTCTAGAAAGAGACCATGCAAAGTGGACAAAAAATAACCACAAAAAAGTTATATAATATAAAATCTTCGCTCTATCTTTGGTACATGTTTGGATTAGCTTATATCGAAGCCAAAAGCTTTTAATAAAACTGATAGATTTTGAGAAAAGAAAGCAATTATTTTTCCCAAAAGTGTTCCCCAAACATGCACTGGCATTACGCACATTAGATATCAAAACCATTGTCTAACAGAAATACAAAAACACATTTAGACACCAGAATGCCAATGTGACATTTTTCTTTGATTTCTTTCCATATCATACAATGAAAAAAACTTAACAAATTCACCTAACTACAAACAATAGAAGACATATCAAATGTGTGTAAATTATATGGTCTATTCATTGAAGAGTTTATCTCGTATGACAATAAATCAGTGGTAAACTAGACATCAAAACCAGAGCTAACCTGCACTTTGAGAAATCTATCTATCTCTGCATCCTGCCGCTGTAACTCACATTCAATGTCATCGCCGATGAGTGATAATAAAGCCGAGTCTCCGGTGGAAGTCAGGCGAGTATTGTCAAGAGACAAGCCCAAACCAGTGGACACTGATCTGGGTTGTAGGAAATCTATGGAAGATATCTGAGAATTGTTCTCCAGAAAATCTTGTTCTTTCAGTCTCTTCCTCTCAGGTTCCAAACCATAATTCCATTGCAAATCAACGCCACCATCACTGCCATCAGCAGGAGGGACAGGACCCGGAGCAAACCCAACAACATGAACTAAACAAAAATAATAATAATAACATAACAAATAAAATCTAGAGCGTAAATTATTATGTCAACCCGAAAACTAGAGTTAAAAGGACCCCCAAAAAATGTTAAGGAAAAACACACAAAAGACCTCAAAAATTTAAACTTTCCAGTGGTTGAATCATCATATAACATAATGGAATAACTTTGACTCGAGATGGCCAAAAGGGATGCCACCCAAAAACCTAGCTGGGGTCATTTCCCTCAGAAAACAGAATTTACAGGGCATAGCTAAAAAGAAAAGGCACAGAAAAGAAACAAATTGAACAAAGGGAAGCTAAAGATGAAGAATTTACATACAGGGAGGAATGTAAGGTGGATGCTGGGACTGATCTTGTAAATCAGTGGGGTTGTAAAAGGCCACCTGCTGCGTCATCTGGCCATCGATTGTTTGTAAATCTCTGAAAGTAAAAAGAAAAAAGCACAAAGAAGGAAGATAGAGAAGCAACGGATGAATCAACAGTTTAAATCACACAGAGACATTTAAAAAAAAAAAAAAAAGTTTGGTAAGATGAAAGGTAGAAAAAAGAGGGAATTGTTTGGGATTTTGGGAAATTTTCAATAAATATTGGGAGGGTAATTACCTGAAAGATTTGGCTTGTGGCTGTTGTTGCTGGGTTTGGTAGTGCCGTTGGAACTGGTGCTGAGGGAAAGCCATGGATGAACAACACGGAGACAAGACCTGTAGAGGTTCGGGAATTGCAAGGTGGCGAATGCAGAGGTTTCTTTTAATTTCGAATCTGCCCCTCCCACTTTTTATATATATATTTTTTTATTCATAAAATAAAATCTCATCTGGACTAGGCCAACTTTGAAATTTGGCTCCCCCAAAATAAACTAACATGTTAGTGCTCGTTTTTAATCAGGGTGGCTTCTTAAGATACGTTCTTTTGACTCCCCTTTTTTTTTCACTATGTTATGTTTGGAATGTTAAATTTTTTATTTCATTTTATTTATATCATTTTAGGAGTGTACGAGGTATTATTAATTTAAAATTCAGCTTGGTTAAGATAGTGAAGAATTGCATATAAATTTCAAGTTGAGTTAGTTTGTTTTGAGTATTGTAAAATAAAGTTTCTTTCGAAATATAATTGAAAAATAATTTAAGAAAAAATTAGGGTCTGTTTGGAGCATCTCATAAAGAAGATAGGATAGGATAATTTAATATATCATACTTTTATCTCTTATTTGATGGATCAATAGGATATGATTAACTTATCTTATTGCCTCATTTTATCATATCCAATACATGATTTCTTATCCTATAGGAGGAGTTGGGTTAAGATTCAACAAGATAGGATACCAATATTGGATACCCAATATATCCCCACGTTACCTAATATATTTGTATTTATTGCATTATTTTTTCTTTTTTTCTTTTTTTCTTTTTTTTTCTCCTTTTACATAATCTTAATCAGGTGTTCATCAAACGCAAGACATGATATAGGCTTATCAGCTCCATATTATAACTCTTATCAGCCCTATATCATATCTTACCCTTAACCTTATCTTGTCCAGAAGTGTTGAAGGGAAAGCCCAAGTTTCCAAAATGTGAACAAATCAACAAACTAGATCACCAGTTCACCACATATCTTCTTGTTGGGGAAGGGCCACTTCTGAAATCAAGGCAAAGGGAGTGATGGTGGATCATGATTAGAGATCATTAGTGTCAAGCGATTACCTAAGCATGAATTTAACCTCTTCTTTGTCATTTTATTTTTCCAACATGCGTGTCTCATCTCATGCTTGGCTTTTACGTTTCTGACACTTCACATAGACACATACTGCACGCTAGAGCTCTTAGGTATAGAGGGCTACTCATTTCTTGCTTATCTTCCATTATTATGCATTGCTAACAGTTTTATGCTTTTCTTGTAAATGCACATGCTCTTTCTCTTAATTTTTTGTCCGTATTTTTTTAGTGAAAAATTACTCTCATGCTACATATGATAAGTTTATCTTCTACACACAATCTTCAATAACTATGTCACCTATTTTTTTTTTCTTTTTTTTTTTTCAAATGGTGGAACCCACAAGTTTGGTTCTATGACATGAGATAACTTATCTCCTTTAACATGAAATTAATAAAACCCATTTTCTTAATGACATTTTTTACGGGTAATTCATCCCTTCCACTCTCCTTCCCTCCAAGCTGATTTTATAATCATTATCAACACACTCTTTGAGATTACACAATAAGATTATAACAAGCCAAATAACTATAATGGCAAACCAAAGTGAAAGTAAAAAATAAATAGATTCAGACAAACTATTTTACTATTTGAAGAGAATTCAGCCAAAATTGAACAAGGCTCAAGCTCGGGGCATGTACAGCATAAATGAGGCATGCAAAGGTTATTTACTCAGAAAAAGGGCTGAATTGAATGAATCCCCCAAAGAACTGATCCACTCTTTCTACATTTGGCTTTGTTCTAGTTCGATTACAGAGGCCTTGTGCAGTTGTGTCCACTTTAAATGGAAATCAGATACTATGCAACACATTAACTTATTGTTCGAATGTAGGGCTATTCTTGAACCTAGAAGTACTGGCAAAGATCACAAAAATGTTTTCTCTCCTCCAGCATATTGTCGATATGCAGTCTATTGTATATATCTAATCACCCAAAAATATGAAAAGAAAGACGTGACATGCATGTTGCACAATGTTCATCAGCTTCATTTGCAATTGATGTAGTTATAAATTGCTTGTACATTTTAATGCAAGTATCAGCGGCACAAGGATTGTGTCAAACTGTGTCCAATTGTACCACGAACAACCCGATGGAGTATCATGTAGTTAGCAAACTTGAGTTCAAGTGTAGATTATATAATGTCTGTAACAAAAGCTACCCTTTTACGAGGTGACTCGGAATCTAAAAAATCCTTTAATCTCTCGATGAAATCAAGTTGTTTAAGACACATCTGGAGAAGGGGTTTTTCCAATCTCTGTTGTATCCAAAAACAGTTGTGGCATGCTTCCGCAGAGTGCATCCTTCATATTGGACAAATAAGAGATGTTAAGCTCAACATAAATAAAAACAAAAATGAAGAAATACTATACATTTTCAATGACAGTGAAGGTTTAAAGTATCCAACATGAACCTTAATTGAGGGTTGAAAACGGGATGAGGTATCCGAAGTAACTACATTTGTCACTGAGGGTAAGACAACAGACTGATGTGAGATGCTGCATTGCTTTGGAAAACTAAAAGCTGACCGCATTAAGCTTTCATCATTTGCAGATGAGGCAATTGCACTGGTGGAATTCTGAAATCCATTACCCTCATCAAGATTGAACCCAGTCTGAGGCAATATCATAGGTCGCAGTCCCCCTGGTAAAGACATTGGATGCAAGCTCAAACCATTTCTCATCATTAACATCTGCAGCATCAATCACAAGCACTAAAATAACAATTAGTCAATGAAGGAATAATGGAGCCAGATATATAACCTGAATGTGGCAACGCCAACTTCTTAGCACCCTTTTTTATTTTTCTCAATTAACACAGGGGAATAAATTAATATTGTAGCCACTTTAACATATTTTACAGGTTCAAGATGCTATACTGACTCTAACATGCACCAAAGAGAATTGAAACAGCTTTAAAAAGACAATGATGAGCATATAGCATTTTGTTACATAAACAGCACTTATCATAGTTAAGGACATTACCGCGTCTAGCCGAATGATATAATGATTAAACTCCACAAAACAGGTTTTAGAGTTCTCAACTCTTCATCTTATGTGCAGTCTTGAAGGAAAATTTGAATGTGAAATAAGCTTTCCTGTTTAGGGTACTCTTTGGTTTAATATATACTATCATTCAATCACCCAATTACATAAGGCTGTGTTTCATATAGAGAACAAACGACATATCTGAAGAGTGATTATATAATATAACAAGCTGACTGAAAGAAAACTCACTTGAACTTGAAGCTGAAGCTGCTTTAAATATTCTATGGCCTCATCCAGCATTGAAGCTTTGTCTGTCTATTGAAAACAAACACAACGTACTCATCCACAAGAAAAAAAAATTAAACTAAAAATAAAAAATTGAATATATTGCAAGATAAATTAAATTAATGGAGAGGAATTGATGGTAGATTGGTAGGTACATATATATTTTACCTTGTTAGAATTTGGAATTAAATTCTGCAAGGCTTTCAATTTCTCGTTAATCCTACTCCTCCTTCTCTGCACATCCATTAAGATTATCAATGAAAGCTACGGAATCAGACAGATTTGTCAAAAAATTAAAGGATCAAAAGCCAACCTTTTCAGACAAATTATGGAACTCTGCAGCTCTGCTTCTCTTTGAGGAAGTACGTGATGGTGGGACACGCTTTGATGGCAACTCTGATGCCTCACCATTCTTCTATCAAATAATAATAATAATAATATCAAATAATAATAATAATAATAATCCACCGATTAATGAAATTGAATCTATATTTGATTACTGTGGCTACCGGAGGGTAGGTAGCAGAAAAAGACTTCTAAAAATGCATTTTTGAATTTGAAAAATATTGTAAGATCTACCGTGAATTTTAAGTTTTCTTAAGCTATACAACCAGAAGCATATTAACTATGGTGATATTGTTTATCACGTTGAATCAGATAAATTATACCATGCAACACAGAAAACTGAGAAGAATAGATAGAGAGAGAAAATAAATGGATCTATCTTCTCTCTTTTTTTCTCGTGCAGAGAAACAATATTCCCATTAACTACTAGTGACAGAGAATTTTTAATATTTAGCAAGTTTCTAATTTGATATTTAAAATTAAGAGTTGAGTTCCAACAAGTGTTGTTGGGAACAAAAAAAGTGTTTTAAGAAGTAGTAGTAGTACCTCAACGGAGAAAGTGAAATCAGAGGGATGAGTCTCTTTGATGTTGTGTTGTTTGAAGGAGGTGTTGGGATCAGGGTCAGGGATGTAAGCATTAGCATAGGGATCAGAGAAATGGGAACTTGAGGGAGATGAAGCAACCGGGTGGGGTGAGGTGTAGTCCGACCCGGATATGTTCGGGTTCATCCCTATTGGTGAAGAGTTGTTAAAGAGTTGGTTGAACAAGGTAGAGAACTCTTCAGATTCCGGTGGCAAGCCTCTCACTAAATATGGTTGTGTTTGGTGCATGTGAGCCATTGAACTTGAAAAAATCACAAATAAAACAGAGAAAGAAAAAAGAGAAAGAGAAGGTTGATATGTTGTGCTCTGCTCTACTCTTCCCAGAAGCAAAGAAATTGCAAATGGGAAACGCTACCAACATCCTTTAAATATTTCCTTTTTATCCCGTTTTCATTATTAAATTAAATTTTATATTAATATGAGTTCTGATTATTTAATGTGAAGAGTGAGTTTTATTTAATAATATCGATGTAAGATTTTATGCAATAATAATGAATATATATAAAATAAAATAAAAAGTGTACTTACTAACGTTGCTTTGCTTTGAGGTTATCAGTAAGCGGGATTAACGTTCTAAATTGGTTTTATAGTATTTGTACGAGGTTGTTTACCGTTGTAATTAGAATTTGGTTACTCTCCCGCCCTGCGTCTCTTCGCTACATATTTTCATGATGTCCTCGTCGCTGTTTTTTCTTATTCTTTTCCAAAATCTTTCTATTCTCTCTTTTACCATACAATTGAATTAAATAAAATAAAAATAAACTGTCGGCTTCGAGTAACTTATTTCATGTTGTAGATTAATTATAAATAATTATTGTTTAAAATACGCAAATAAGACTTTCTTTTTGACGTGATCTTTTTTATCTCAATAAGAAGATAGGTCTCAATGATTGGGAGCGGTGATAACATAATATAATATATGTTAATTATTTGAAAGAATTATTGGTAGTCTGATGCTATTTTCTTCCAGATAGAACTAATTATTTATTGCAGTGTCAGATACAGTTTACTTATTATTATTATTATTTTCATGCCGTGTTCAATTTTATTTGTTCTTTAATTAGTTTGACTGGGGTTTCAACGTTTAACCCCAAGGCAGTTCAGAATTTGAAGGGAAGAAAAATGGCTACACTCCCATACTATTGAAAAAAGAATTTAACGAAGAAAATGGAAAAGAGGAAAAAAATAAATAAATAAATAAATAAAAAAGAAAGAAACCAAAAGTCAAAGACGTCATAGTAATCTTCACCGTCTTATCCAACCAAACGACCAGCAAGACCAATTTATTATAGAGCCAAATGTTCAAGTCCCGAGGCTACTTTTGGTAGCGTGTTCTGCTAACAATTTTCTCCATAGAAAACACCTTTCCCTCTTTCGGTTACAAACTTTTTCTTTGAAATTCTACGAATTTTGGTTTCGGTCATAGGTTCATAGAAGGATACGGGCTAAGATCCACAGAAAAACAACCATGGGCTCAACTAAATGAACTTAATTTGGACACCCCCATGGGCCATTTGCCGTTTCCTTAACGGGGAAGAGTATTTGACTAAATTCCAACTTGTTGTCTCCACAACCAAAACAAATAAAAAATAAAAATTGTCCCCCCATACCATATTGTATAGGTTTAGGTTAAATTGATTATTTTTTTTAAATTCAAATAATATTATTTGTAAATATAATATTCTCACACGTGCCTCCATACGATACTCCTGTTTGTCTCTCTCATTTATATTTAAAAAAGTAATTAGTCACGAGTGCTGCAGAATGAATGTGTGGAAGTAGTCTTGCAAAATTAGCCATGATTTAAACTGGCTAATTTTCATTCAAAATACAATCAAACTTTTATGACATGTATGAGACTCGTTGCATTAGATTGGTATTATATTTGAAAATTAAATTATTTCATAAATTATTTAGAAAAATGCATTAAAAAGGTCATTTTCATATATTATACATATTTTTTATGGAAGCGGAGGGCCTTAGCCCAAGACAAAAGAAAACAGGTTTTTTGACCTGAGTAATTTGTTTATTTAAAAGTTTGACCGGATTAATTTTTTGGTCAAATATATAACCATTGTAATGCATAACGACGCAATAGTATAGTCACTGTTTTAAGAAGCGGTAATTTGAGCAACGCGACGTTCGCAATTTCAGGCTTTCTGCAGCATTGAACCAGAGGCACATTAATTGCTCAGAGACGCGGTACTGAACATATCACGTTTGACCACAGTAAAAGTGGTACCTTAACTACCGCGTCCCACATCTGTTGCAACAAGCTAGAGGGTCAAAAGGTGAGAGGGTATCTTTGTTATATCTTGTCTACTTTATGCATTTGATCAATTATAGAATAATCTATATGTGTAGTTTTTTTACTAGTTTATCTTATATTCTCGAGGAATGATTTTTTTTTTTGGTAAGCAGGAATGAATAATAAATTATTAAATATCATTCCTAAAATATAATTATAGTGTAGTGTAGTATATTTAATGGTATAAAATTTTATTAATAATATTATTAAATTTTGTTGATGATATTATTAGGTTCTTTAAAGGTCCTACATTTATTTTATAAGAACTTTAGGTTAGTGATGGCTTTAAATTTTATTAAAGATATAAATAAATTTTTAAAAGTGCTATATTTATATTATTAAAAATAGAGGTTAATGGGCTTAAATTTTATTAATACTACATTTAATGTGTGAATTGTTCAGTACCGTGTCTCTGAGCAATTAATGTGCATCTGGTTCAATGCTGCAGAAAGCCTGAAATTGCGAACGTCGCGTTGCTCAAACTATCATGTCTTAAAACGGTGACTACACTATCGCGTTGTTATGCATTATAATGGTAATATATTTGACCAGAAAATTAATCCGGTCAAACTTTTAAATAAACAAATTACTCAGGTCAAAAAGCCAAGAAAACAAGACTATAAATGGTCTAGACTTGTAATTGGGAGTACGAGTCTAAATGATTTAGACATGCCAACGGCTTGACCTATGTCAAGTTAGTTCTATATTCAATAAAATAAAATATTCTTAGGCCTTAAAAATTAGAAAACGTGTCATAGGCCTACCTTTACAAGGCTTGCCAACATGTCTATAGACGTGCCTTTATCGTACTATTTATTTTAATCAAATTAAAATAAAATAATTATTTAAATAAATTTAAGTAATAAAATAATATTATTTTACTTATTTTTCTAATTCTTAAAGGCCTAATATACTAATAGGCTTAGGCCAAGTCTTTTTTTTTTTTAATATAGGTGGGATCATACCTATAATTTAGCTTACATAAGGCTAATAGGATCGGTCAGGCCCAAAATATTTTATATAAGTTTAGTTTATTTAGGCCAAAGCCTTGCCTGACTCATCCTATTTCCACTCTTAACTATTGCATGATTCTTTCAAACATCATGTTATAGGTTTGTCTGTCACCTCCTTTGGTAACAGTTTTGTTCGCCGTCCAATTTGATCCTTTATTACCATCACATATGGTATAAAATCGGGGTGTTAAAAGAGGCAGGGGCCTTTGTCCTAGTTTATGTAGGCATGGTCTGGCTCATTTATTTTGGTTGTTGGATACAAACTTGGACTTTATGTAAAAACTCATTTAATAAAAATGCCTCAGGCTCAAATGCAAAAGTCTAACCTTAGAGCCTATCAGGCTGGTCTGATATACTAACTCTTATTTTAATTTTAATTTTTTATACTACTCATTTATATTTTATGATATTATAATTGAATGTCAAAAATAATCTGAATTGGTTTTTTTTATGTAGGAAGAGGTAACAACATCGCAATATATTAAATTGTTGATATGAGTATATTAAATTGTTTACGCAGAATTTGTAGTCTTTTGTTCTTTTGGACTTGCAGAATTTTGTACTACTTTATTTTATTGATTAAGCATACTTTTTAATTGATTTTGTTTTGTATTATATTGTTTGGATATACATTGAATTTATGAATTTTTATGGAATTATTGATGGTGGTGATCGTATATGGATAATTTTTTTTTATCTTTTTTTTTTTAACAAGCTAAGCCAGACTTTTATTTTTTATAAATAACTCAGGTCACAGGCTGATAATTATATTCATGACAGGTTACAGGCTAGGCCAATCTAACACATTTAAATACAGGCTTGGCCTTTTAAGACCAAAACTCAGCCCGACCAAGCCCATTAACACCCCTAGTATGACTAAATCTGATGTTTCATTCCTTGCCCACCTAAGCTCTAATCTTGTTAATGAGGTGTGAGTCATGGGTGTGGTGTTAACATTTGTAAGAGAGGCTATTATAGTTGGAGTGTGTCCTTTCATTATCACTTTTTGCAGCCCCATTATAACATCCCTCGATTATTAACCGAGAAATATTACTTTCATATTTTGAATTCCAATTCTACATATATATTATAAAGAAGACTTAGGGTGTAAGTCTTATATAAAATAACTTTATTCTAGAATGTAAAAGTATAAACCATTAAACCAACACATATTATTAAGTCACCCTTATAAAATCTAAATTACCACAATAGTAATATAGTTAGGTTTTTTTCGGTTCTAGAGAATCGTGGAACTATACCGTAGGGTATGTACTTAGAGATATCTTAGAGACAGATATCTTGGTTGGCTTATAGCCAATATCCCAATCACTGCGTATAAGAAATAGGCTTATAGCCAAGAAGTGGGTGTATGCATGGTGTTGGCAGTAATAATAAATCGGTTCAGTATGTGTACCTGGGGTCTTTAGCCTTTTATTTATAGGGGTTACCTTTTGGGCTTGAGCTGTGTAGATCTCCTAGTTGAAGTAGGATTTAACCTCTTATTGTAGGTATAAGGCCTTTATCTCCTTATCTTTATCATCTCATGCTGTTAAGATAACTGTGTCATTATCTATTAAGGGACTCATGGGATAGGCTGTTAAGATATGGATATATTCCATAACAGGTTCTATTATAGAACTTCAAACTGAATAAAGATACATATTTTATTGAATGATTCTCCTGCCTTGGACAAATATAACATATATTTCAAGCTCTATTCTCCACATATGAAAATACACACTTAATGAGATATTTATCCTAATAAAAATAAAAATTTAAATTAAAAGGGATTTCATGGAAGTGTAATATTTTCAGTCCAAACTAAGTATGAAAAAAATCCTATATGGTTTTAAATGGACAATGTTAAAATCATAATACCTTAAAATAATATAGCATCATAAACACATAACCATTTC